AAGTCCATTCTTAGGATTTTGTAACTGAGAAGAAGTGTTTCAAAATATTTATTCTTTTTTTTTTTTTTTTACTCATTTAGAATTGTTTGAGAAAATTTTTTTTCTCAATATCTTCTCTACTGCAAGTCAGGAATATAAAATTTTGTAATTCTTATTTGGGTCTCATTTTTGTTCAAGGGCCTAATTATATTGAAAAGAGGTGTTAAATGAAACTTATTTGTTAAGCACATGCCATGCACATTTATCTCTTGTGTCAAATTAAATGCAAATTTAATGTCATTGATGTTTCAGAAGAAAGAAAAGCACTTCTCCTATCGGTTAGTGGTTTAGCATATACTTCGCTACCTAGTTAACATCTTATCAATAAATCAATGAAAGAAAATGTTTCAAATAAAAAATGAACAGCATGCTCGTATTATTTTAAACAACCACATAAGAGCCCCATTGTTGTGACTGTCACAAAGGATCTTGAAGACTAAATTTTAATTCATTTGTTTTATGGTTCCTTCTGTACAGAGCTGTGGAGTAATATCAGAGCACACAAAGAGGATGTGTACAAGGTGAGTGATAGGCCACTTAGATTACTTGTGCTTGTTTTTGATGGCAGTGATAATTGCCACCATCCAATGCAGATGGTCCCTTTGGGTGTGATTTATAAATTCCCTTTCATTAGCGGTTCAAAGACTCACCATGGACTTTAAGCTAAAGTATAATGGTAAACAGTTGAAACTGCTGGGCAGAATGGGCTCAAAACATATTAAAATGCAAAAAAAAAAAGAAAAAAGATTACTTTAAATTTAATAGAAACCGCCAGAAAAACCAGAAAACTAAAAAATGTAATTTTCATTTATTGTGATATTTAGAGTCAGTAAGTATGTCACTTAACTTTTAGTGGTTTGGATAGTCTCTAAAGCAGTCACTTACTTTTAGTGGTTTGGATAATCTCAAAAGTAGTCACTTACTTTTAGTGGTTGGGATAATCTCAAAAGCAGTCACTTAACTTTTAGTGGTTGGGATAATCTCAAAAGCAGTCACTTAACTTTTAGTGGTTGGGATAATCTCAAAAGCAGTCACTTAACTTTTAGTGGTTGGGATAATCTCAAAAGTAGTCACTTAACTTTTAGTGGTTGGGATAATCTCAAAAGTAGTCACTTAACTTTTAGTGGTTGGGATAATCTCAAAAGTAGTCACTTAACTTTTAGTGGTTTGGATAATCTCAAAAGTAGTCACTTAACTTTTAGTGGTTTGGATAGTCTCAAAAGTAGTCACTTAACTTTTAGTGGTTTGGATAGTCTCAAAAGCAGTCACTTACTTTTAGTGGTTGGGATAGTCTCAAAAGTAGTCACTTACTTTTAGTGGTTTGGATAGTCTCAAAAGTAGTCACTTAACTTTTAGTGGTTGGGATAATCTCAAAAGTAGTCACTTAACTTTTAGTGGTTTGGATAGTCTCAAAAGCAGTCACTTACTTTTAGTGGTTGGGATAATCTCAAAAGCAGTCACTTACTTTAACTTGCGTTGACCACCAAACACACTTCACAGCCCATTGTACAATGATGGGTTCAATTGTTTATTTATTTGTTTACCTAAAAAATGATTCATTTCAATATTAACTCAAGCTTTGACTCAATGGTTCTATGACTCAATGGCTCTATGGCTCAATGACCCCATGACTTAATGGCTCTATGACTCAATGACTTAATGGGTATGACTAAATGGTTCTATGACCCTATGACTTAATGGTTGTGTGACTCAATGACTCACTGGCTCTATAACTCAATGGTTCTCTTATCACAGGACTGGAAAATGTGTGCAGCACACTGATGAGCAAAGGAGGCAAGTTAGACAACTTCTACTACGACAAAGGTAGGGACTATTTACATTAAAAAAAAACATCTATGATAGCTGCAAAGTCATTTTAAATACTGGCTACATTATATTAATGACAAGGGTTATATCATAGACTTAACAAAATAAAGAATTATATATTTACCAATCATAACACCCCCCCCCCCCCCCCAAATCTTTAGCAGAGCTCATGACCTTGAAGATATTCACATTGACATCGACACATACGACGATGCTGAATCACAGTCACTGAGAGAATCCCTGCAGTGGGAAGCTGCCTCGTCTCCTGCTGACTCCACCTCTACAAACAACAGTAAGTCTTGCTATAAACCTTTGAGACTTATTTAGTCAGTAGTTTGACCCTCACTAATGAATGAGGTGAGCAGCCAAACGAATTTTCTCTGATTCATTTTCTTCACTTCTAATGAAAAACTATAAATTATTATTCCATAACAATAACTCTTTTTGTCGCAATATTTAAACAGGTGCAACAGGCCCCTCAGGCATGGCCAATACAGGTGGTGCAACGACAGTCACTGGTAATTCAAGTGGTGCCCAAAAACGTGGCAACAAGAGATCAGGTAAAGCCAGCAAGGCTAAAAAACAAAAATTTGGAAAGCAAAGTGTCTCCAGCTCAAGCAGCGCCAGCAGTAACAAGGAACAGGCCCATGTCAACTTGTACGACTTCACTTAAATTTATGCATCTCCAACATAATTGCAAGCCATTTGTAAATTAGTGTGGGTGATGTGCATGGACTGTCAAAGTGTTGTTGAGTTCTCTCCAGTTCTGAAGCAGAGCATGATTAAAGAGCACATTCATTTAGGATTTATTCTTTATAAGATCTTGTCAATAAAATCGTTGCCATCATTCTGATAATACCATAGTACCGGTACTTTCTTTGATGTGTTAAAATATGGAGTAGGGCTAGAAGAACTACTCTATCAACTACTTTTTAAACCCAAGCTGTGTAGCAGGATGTGTAAAGAAAGCAGGAGAATTGTAATAATGAATTTAATATTAGTATTAATAGTATGCTTGTGTTGTCTTTTTAAATTTATTTTTATGTCATTTTTAAAAATGTTGATGTTGCATTTTGCTTGTTTATTTGTGATTTCATCAGATATAAATATTTTTATTGGTTTGAAATAATTATTTCTGACTTTACTGATGTATATGCATACATCTATAAAACAGTTGAACTAATTAAGACATAATTAGTTGTATAAATTATTCAACTTGTTTTAAAAATCTATTCTTTTTTGTTGCACCTTTGTAAAAATTGGATAAATAATTCCTAACGAAATGAAAGAATAAGTTCTTGACCTTTTTGCTTCTGATTTCTAGTAATTTTTATGTTTATGTTCAAAATGTGTGACCTATAAATGGTGAATGGGCAGACCTACAAAGACTTTATAAAGTCAGATGTTTTAACTTCTGAAATAGGTGTAGTGAGAGTAAGAATACGTCATGTTTATCAGATATTCAGGACATTTATAATTATTTAGTGTAGTTTGAAAAAAGTTATTTTAAACATTTTAGACAAAGAAAATGTTAAGATTAAGACCCCGCAAAGGTAGACTAAGCTAGAAATGGAAGAGAGACATCAGCAACCTGTTTATTTTAACTTGAACTATTTGTTTTAAATCTTAGATTTTTCACTATTTATTAACACTTATAAGTTAATACCAAAAGAACTAAACTATTTGTCTATTAACTATTAGGTATATGTGCTCACTACGCTCCTACATGGCAGGTTGACCACATATGCCAGTCTCGAGCATAAACTCAACAGCTTCCACCAAAGATCTGTGGATTTGCGAATTTGATGGCAGGACAAAGTGTCTAACACTTAGGTTTTGAAATGTGCCTAAATGTTCTCTGTTCTTAGTAAGAGGTGTCTTCGCTGGTTGGGTTATGTAAGGAGAATGGCTGCAATCCAAAAAATTTGCTGTATTGGAGGGTTGGCAGAAGGGGAAAAACTTATTGGATGGCCGCAGTTTAAAGACGTTGGCAAAAGAAATAGGAAAGCCAACATAGAAATCAGCAAATGACATATTATCTTCGAGCACCGTTCAAGCTGACGAATAGGGAGCCAAACAGGCTGAAGATGCATGAAACTAAGTCATTGCAACAAAGAGAGCATTACAGAAGACCAAATTTAACCAGGATTCAAGGTTCTCCTGCGAGAAGTGCAGCCAAGAATGTCATTCCAGGATGCGCCTTGTAAGGCATTTGATGAAGTGTACATAGCTACTCCATTGTCTTGCGAAGACATAAGGATGCCAAATATATAATTTAATAGATAACAACAGCACTCCTCAAGCGTTTTTTGTACTTATATCCCAGATTTATTTACCTTTGTGGGCCTCAGCCCCCTCATTATAAGAAAATGAACCTTTTTAAATAAACAGTCCTTTATTTAAAATGTATTTAGTAACCTTTAGTAAACAATTACGTTTATTTCTTTACTGATGGTGGAATTAAAATTTTTGCACAGGATAAAAAAAAAGTTGCTATAACATCACATTACTTTCCACAAATGAATCTTCCCAAATGTTGGAAACCTAATGCTCTGTTTTTAAAAAACCAAAACTTGTGTAAAACATAATTCTGTATTGCGTACTACCCTATGAGATTAATTGAGCCCAAATTTCCTTTCAGTAGTTCTGTCTTTATCAATTCAAGTCTAAACATATCTTGCTTGTTCCAATATTTCCTTCACAGCACTTGAATGCAGTACTTCATATATTATTATCAAACATAAATATATTCAAATTTGATACAAATAAAATGAGTGATAATTCAAAACTACAAGAATGCTAGGCATATTATTTAAAGGATAATCATCTAATCTGTTCATCATTAATAGACTTTGCTTATTATACCAGATAATCGATACATATATTTTTTAATAAGAATATCAATAATCGATTATCTGGTATAATAAGCAAAGTCTATTAATGATGAACAGATTAGATGATTATCCTTTAAATAATATGCCTAGCATTCTTGTAGTTTTGAATTATCACTCATTTTATTTGTATCATAAAAAAAAAAAAAAAAAAAAAAAATAAAAAAAAAAAAAAAAAAAAAAAAAAAAAAAAAAAAAAAAAAAAAAAAAAAAAAAAAAAAAATAATTTTTTTTTTTTTTTTTTTTTTTTGATTTTATTCAGAAAAAAATTAAAACAATCAAACTTTATAAAATAAAAGCATTTTTAAAGTTTGAAAAATTAATTTACTTGTGTGTCAGAATTTCAATTTCTACATCTGAGGTGCCCAATAGGATACACTGGAATACAATTTGTGACATATTAAGAGAAATGCTGTACAAACAGAAATTATTTGTTAAATTCATCAAGGGCAGTAAAAGTAAAAAAAAAGTAAAGTTTATATCAGAATAAACTCAATGGAAGCATTATTAAATCACATCAAAAAATAGGTTATTTTTTTAAAAAATAAAGAACACAAATTAAAACGAATTGAGTCTTACCACAGGAAATGTTAAACATGATAAAAAAAACTTATGCCAACTAATATGAAGGAATGGGTTGTCTCACATTTGAATAATAAATAAGTTTTAAATGAAAGAAACATCACTCAAGTGTGCCATGATATGTTGTGTTGAATGAAGACAAAACCTTTGAGGCCACAACTCTCTCCTCGGTAACCCCTCCAGTGATTCTATCTATTCGGTTTCTAGATACAAAAGGATAAATATCTTTTAAAACAGTACAAGGCATGTGTGTCCTTTCTTGAACCGGAACTAGGAAACGCTCCCGTCTCAAAAATGTACGAGAGTAGCAGTCGGAATCAACGCGTCCAAAATGAAAGTCTATCACTTTGGCCGGCTGTTGGGGAAGGAACACAGGATAGCCTTCAAAAACCCCTTTAATAACAGGAAGTGCCCATTCTCTTGGCAGTATGATTTCGGTTTTCATCCAAATGCAGATGGGCCAGACATGTCCAGAGTCTTGTTGGTACATGAAAAAATCTATGAATGGAAATTTAATTTCAGATTCTCCCTGCCAAAGCTCAGCATCCTTGTGATACAGTTTCCACATGTAGTCTGAGCCCATATTCAGCTGCAAGTCAGGCAAACAAGATAAAACTTGCCGTGCCAATGGCCACTGTTGGCTGTCAAATAAAATATCAACGTCATCATCCCATGGAATCATCCCATGGTGGCGCCAGTATCCAATTAAAGTTCCCTCAGAAACAAAATAAGTGATGTTGAATGCAGCAAAGGCCTGGGTGGCCGATAGCATTGCAAACAACATATAGCGCTGTTCAAAAGGGGTTAGCGACGGTTTGTAGTTGTCCAGTAATTCCAGTTGGTCAGCTGATAATGAAGGTTTTATTTTAGCAGCAAGTCTGGACCAATCTTGTATATCATAAATTGGCATGTCAGATAGTTTTGGCATCTTGACGGTTGCAAGTTTTTCATGCACAAATTGGCAAGGACCGTCATATTGGGTACGATCCACATAGAAGAATAAATCCACCAGATGGATACGTATTACCTGCAAAAGAAGAAAATAACGCTAGTACTTGAATTGGATTCTAGCAACAACTCATTTATATATTTAAGAAATAATACAAGATTTTATATATCATTATTTTTTATTATTAGTTTTATATAGCACGCTACTCCAGCCTAGGGCTGGGCTCACCACGCTATACATACAATTTAACAAACATAATCAAGAACTATTTACATGTCAAGCCATGGACAGCCACCCAGGATTTCAGTCAAGATAGTAGAGAGATGTGTTTTGGGTGCAGTTTTGAAGGCTGTGATGGTCGGTATATAGTGGAAGAGAATTCCATTGTTTGGGGGCACAGAAAGAGAAAGATCGTTCACCGTATGTTTTGGTGCAAGTCTTGAGGACAGAAAGAATATGCTTTATGTAGTTAAACTTTGGTTGAAATTAAAATTTCTGGTCATGTTTGGTTTACAGAAGTGCTTCCCAAGGAATAACAGAAAAAATGTATTCATTATAACAAACTGGTGCTGAGTTGATTGACTATTGTACTTTTTCAATCAGCACAGATCAGTAGACCACCACTCAGGGAAGCACTGGAGAACTTGAAATGACTTTGAGGCATAAAGGTTATAACCCACTATTACTGCTCTGTCTTTTCTTATGTTTTTAGCGGTGTGGTTATAACTTTCCAGACTCTCGAAAAACTTGCCCCCAAACTGCCACTAAACCCACAATATTTATGTGAATGCCTTATTCAACATTATGAGAAAATGCTTGAAATGAGTACGATCAGAGCGCCACACTGCATTTAACAGCCCTGAATCATCAGTAATAATTTAATGCTGTAGGTGCTGTTTGCATTGAACTTGCTAAAATCAACCTGATTGGCTTTGTAAACAGCTTCATATTGTAAGAGAACTAATAATGTGAAAACTTCTTGTTAACAGCTGATCAACAGTAAACACCCGCCCCCCCAAAGTATTTCTAGCAATCTTGTCACGCAAGAGCCAGAAGAAAAGTTATTCTCATTTCTTATAATTTTCTAAGTACAATGAAAACATTACAATAAGATTCAAAATCAGGTTAATGGGCAAATTCAAGAAGAGACCTGCGAACTAACCTTAAATGTACTGAGTTGCTTCAATGTCTTTGGCCAGCCAGGTATCAAGAGATTTCTCAATGGAGTAACAAACAAAATGATGAGACCAATCACAATGAGAACTTTAATCCGTGCTGTCAACTTGTATTTTGACCAAAATATTTTCAGTCTGTTATGACGAGCCATTTTTACTTTAACTGTTCAATCTGTTTCATTAACCCATTTCATCTGTAATGATAAAAATAGTGTTGATTTTTTTTTAATGAATACTAATTTCATTCAATACAACAAATGATAAAAATCAGCAGGACTGGTAATGTACTGCAGGCCAAAGGCAATCTTGTCTGCACCTTGACCAAGAGGTGGTGAGCTCGTATTTGTCCAAGGTCAGTCCAAGGTTTAGAAGGGTGCAATGGACTCATCAGCCATATTCATGAGGGAGGTCAACACTGAGTAAAAAACCTCAACCATCAGAAAATAGCGGCCAACAAAGCAAAACATAACTGTGGTCTTAATAGTTAAGTTAAAGCTGCTGGAAAACTTAGAAGAGAGAACAATGTTTCCAATTCCCTTATTATTTATAAATAAATAGTTTTTATTAGCCCATCAGATGCAGCACAAGTGAAGGTAAATTATACCAGCACACATGAAATCAACTATGGGCACATCAATTGTTAGGTGAAACAAATTTATTTGAGGTTAAATTTATTATGTCCTGTTTTACACTTAGTTTATTATGACAACTAATAAGGTGATGTTGTGTTTATCAGTGAAACACTGTAAATCATCAGAAAATGTATTCTTTACTAAGCATTAACAAATACGCTGTGTATTAACATGTAAGTGCAAGATAAATTTACCTGTTTGGTCAAACTTCTAGTGATATTGTTGCCAAAATATTGATACAAAGGTCACAGTTGGGGAGAGGGAGAGTTGTAAGGAGAGTATCTATGTCACATCACACAAAACTCCTAGTGGATCATTTATTAATGAATCAACTTATTCTATAGAGGGCAGGGGAACACAGTTTGCACAGGCTAGCTTTGAGTAGTTGCATAGCAAGTAGGCCATCTAAAATAGCAACACAAATGGGCTGTTACATGTATTCGTTAGCTCTAGTTATATACATACCTAATGCAATAATATAATTATAATATATTACAGTGTATATCGCAATCCACATATAATGCGAATTCTTAATTTTTTGTTTGAAAAAAGCCCTAACATGAAATGTTCCTCAATAATGTGACTGTTAATCTTAGCCATATTTAATACAATACGAATTAAGGAAATAAATATTTTTAGAAATAGATATATTGTCTAAGTTCTTTAAATTATTAAAACTAGATGAAGCCCGCCAAACATTGGCGACAGCGATGCGTGAACTTCCCATCTACTAATGTTACTTGACAAGAACGTGAACTCTAGTTACGCACATTTAAGAATGCCACTTTTGCTACCCCCCCCCCCTTTTTTTCATGATACGTCACGGCACACTTTTTATTTTACGCCGACCCATGACTTAGCATACACTGGGAGCTGGCTGGCAAGCGAGGGTGATGCAGGGGGGGGGGCTGTAGCTCCATCGCAGTGTGCATGTCTCGAGACCAACGATGGGCAGGCAAGGGAAGGGAGGTTTGCCTGTGTCTTGCTTGCTCTGGCCTATCTATATATAGCCTGCGTGGTGGTGTTTGCCCTACTTCTGGCGAATTATATATATAGATATTTAAAGTGAACAGTTGTCATACTGATACAACTATGCTAATATCCCTTAAAAGGGTCGCTACATACATTACTTGTTTTTTGTGCAGATACGATAGGCACTTGATTACCGAATGCAAGTGTAGCAAGATATAGAAGAAGAAGAAGAAGAAGATTTGGTTGCTTAAGGCAAGGCATTAAAATTTAGTATAAATTATAAACGTCTACTGCTGGAAAAGGGGGAGAGGGGAAAAGGGTGATTTCACATTAAAAGAGGAGAATTTTTTTTTTTTAAATGCACTTCATAGCACTAAATTACAGAATTTTTTAACACTATTAAAATGCAATATTTAATACAAAAATGTTATTGTTTTATTTTACAACTACGATCACTGAAAGAATCAGTACAGGTATGCGAGATCCGAGAAAGAGCATCTGATTAAGTTACAGGATGCCACGGAGGAGAATCCGGGTGCAGTAACATTAATAGTCGTTGGAATTTATGTCGAAACAGGAATCATGGAATGGGGGCTAACATGGGAAGTGAGATGGAAAGAAAAATGTTGTAAAAGGAGGGGTGGGTGGGTCATTTTAGCAAATGTTCTAGGCCAGAGTAACTGAAACTTTTCGCAGTGCTGCATTCCCTGTCGAATTTTAAACATGTAAACTGAATTGTAATAGAATTTAAACAATGAAAATAGCGAAATAACTTATTTATTGTTGTTTTATTTTTTAAATTAACTTTCTAGAAACAAGATAAAAATTACCACTACATGTAATGCACAAATAAAATTCACCAAGAAAAATATTTACTGCTGCTATTCAAAATGCATAAAAACTTATTTTAGGAACAACTAGCGATGGAAGCAACAAAATTTATTTTCTGGGTCTTCCGCAACCACGGGCGGGGAGGGGGGGGGGAGCTTTCACCCCTGTTTAAGCACCACTGTTCTAAGCAAATGGTTCTGAAACTGTTGCAGTAGTTTGATATACATAGACATAGGAAGTGATTTTGTAAAGGTTTGTAGAGGACAGATGGAGTTTTATGGGGGAGGGGGTGCAGAGGTTTGTGAGGTTATATTTGAAGGAGGGTCCAAGTCTAACTNTTTGGGGGGGGGGGGGTTGTTGTAAAAAATAATTTGTGTGACATCCTTTCTGGGATGACCCCAAACCTACTTTTAAGATACATTTTTTAGCCAAAATTTCTCATAACATAAGCTTTAATTTATTTATACTAAGTTATATACTAAATAATTAAGATAATTTAGTCAATTTAAATCATAATACCGGTACTATTAATACTCATTTAATAATAGTAGTAATTTAAATCATAATACTATTAATACTCAGTTAATAATAGTAGTAATAATATCAATATAGTAATAATATTAATAGTAGTAATACAAATAGTAGCCAAGCTCTGGTATAGAATATATTGTATACAATTGGCAACTCCTGTGTGAAAGAAAGAGCATATAAAGCCTTTGTCTGTCCGGTTTTAGAGTATGCATCTTCAGTCTGGGACCCATTTACCCAGAAGAGCATGACAGGTTAGAGGTGGTCCAGCGACGGGCAGCACGCTTTGTCCTGAACCGCTTTAGGAATACCTCTAGTATTGGCAGAATGCTGGAAACACTAGGCTGGTCACCATTGGAGGAACGACGACGACAATCCAGGCTCTCCATTATTTACAAGATAAATAATGGGCTGGTCCACTGTTCCAGTATTAAACAGAAACTCGTCCCTCTCCCCTATGGACATCGACGAAGCCATGACAGGCAATTCAGGCTCACACCAGCAAGAACCCAGTATAGGAGCTGCTCATTCCTGCCCAAGACAATCAGGGACTGGAACAAGCTTTCAAAAGGAACAGTTGAGGCGACAACACTAGACACATTTGTGTCTATTGCCTCAAGCCTTCAAACCCCCAGCGCATAATTCCCTCACAAAGTGGCACTGGAAATCAGTGAAATGTCCTCATCAACACCAGGCACAGAAACATTGCAAATCCCCTCTACATGCATAGGAGCCAAAAATGATCTATAAATTGATAGTGGGCCCTTAATATATATATATGTAGTATATAGACTATAGAAGAAGAAGAATACTTCAATAACGACTACAGTATTCTGAGTATAGTCCTACCCTATAAGTTAGACAGTGAGTTACTTAGACACTCGACAGACAGTACTCATAGTAATCAGTAATCATAGTGTATAAGTATCGTATAGTAAGTATATTAAAAGTTAAAGTTAATATTAATATAGTATATATAATAAATATAGTTATACTTTTTTTACTATAGACTACAGGCAGTATAATACTTAATAGGCATATTCTTGTCTATTATAGACTGACTACAGCCACTCTAGGCCTAATGCCTAATAATAAATAAGGTTATAAATTATAATGCTTAATTTAATAATAATAATTTGGACCTAATTATTAAATTAGGCTTAATTAAATTATAATTACAATCTCAATAATAAAATAAATGATTAAATTAGCCTACTTTTTACTATCTTTTACAGTACAAGCATTACTCTAGTCTAAGCTATCATGTGTTTAAACCATTGTGCTTCATATTTGTTTAATCATTTTGTTTCTTTTAAAAGCTTACCTCTAGCGACGATCCCACCTAGCAACACTCAAGGAATCATCGTCAAAGTGACCCGTGTGCAGCCATTTTGACACAGGTGTAAACTAATGTGATCATGTGATCATGTCCAGACAATTTTGTGTGTGTGTGTGTGTTTTTGAAGTTTCTCTGCTCTTTGGAAAGACTTGATGACTGATGTTACTCACTTGCTCTATTTTACAATTAATTTCTTGTTTAAAAAAAACATAATATGATAAACTCACAAGTTCTGTGAAAAAATAAAATAAGTAATTAATAGATATATGATAAATGCTTAGGCTACGTCTTAATTTTGCTTCTTAAAGTTAATTGTTTGTAATTGTCGACTAAAAAGTCAGTCGCCCAAGACCAGGCCCCAAGCCCTAAGAGCCCTAAGCCCCCTAAGACTCATGTTCAAGTCTTAACTTAATTTACCCTATAAGCCTAAGGGTAAGTAAGAAACCAGAGTGACAGTACTATTATGTCTTGTAATAGTAATATGTTATGATTTTCTAAACTTAGCTCTACAATAGTAGGCCTATACATGTTAATACGATAACAAGTTAAAAAGATTTTTTTGTACGAAGTAAAGGAGATGTTCAAGAACTGTTAGTGTTAGAAGAGTAAGTGTTAAATACGCATTGATTAAAATAACATTAGTTTATAAAACGATTTGAGATGTGCAGGCTCGTTCATGGCATGGGCATCAAATGTTGTTGCGGTGTTCTGTGGTTGATTAAAAAAAGAAATTGTGGGGATGTGATAATATATTTACAGTGACGTTCTGTCGGGACAGTTGCCATGGGCTGCATGGAAACATTCGAGACAAAAAGTTGCCCTTTTTTTTTTTAAATGGGGAAAGAAATTATATCCTCCACCCCACCCCCACCCCCCATGAAATAAGGAAACATTTGGAGATGAAGAAAATGCACACAAATATATAGTACCACACTTGACCTCCCCCACTCCTTATTTCCTACCAAATCACAAAAAGACAAAAACAGAAGGAATATTTTTGCAATCGTAAATGAAATGTTAAAAAAATATAAATAAAAAAAGAAGAAGCAATAATTTCGTCATTTTGACAGGTCATTCCAGCCAGGGACGGCCTTAACTTAACAATCATTCTAGGTCAGGTGGCGAGGAAGCTTGTTTTCACTAATAGTACTCTAAAAATATATTTGCTTAAAACGATATTACTCCATCAATTTCACCGATCTCACCAATACAAAATACAAGCATGGGCGCCCGCAGAAAACTTTCTAGAGGAGGGGGGGCAGAAAATCGATTAACTTTCTAGGGGGGGGGAGCAAAATTTTGTTTAGTAATTTTTTAATGTAGTTTTAATTTACTGTAGCGTATTTGTATGGTGAACGAACGGACAGGACATCAGCTTAGTTAATTTTTCTTTATTTTCTCTTTACTTTAATAAATTTTGTGTCTATTTTTGTCTAAAAATTTGTTATCCAATCAATCCAGGGGGGAGGGGGGGGGGCAAGTGCCCCTTTCCCCCCTCCCCATGCGGTGCCCATGAATACAAGGAAATAATCGAAACAAAGGGAAACCCCGAAAAAAGGACGCAGCGAAACAACGAACGTTTCGGCAAGAAGCCTTCTTCAGTGAACACAATATAAAAATAAACATTAAATAAACACTACCTCAAGTTGCTTTTTTTTTTTTTTTTTTTTTTTTTTTTTTTTTTTTTTTTTTTTTTTTTTTTTTAATTTTTTTTTTTTTTTTTTTTTTTTTTCTTTTTTTTTTCAGGGGGGAGGGGGGGGGGCAAGTGCCCCTTTCCCCCCTCCCCATGCGGTGCCCATGAATACAAGGAAATAATCGAAACAAAGGGAAACCCCAAAAAAAGGACGCAGCGAAACAACGAACGTTTCGGCAAGAAGCCTTCTTCAGTGAACACAATATAAAAATAAACATTAAATAAACACTACCTCAAGTTGCTTTTTTTTTTTTTTTTTTTTTTTATTTTTTTTTTTTTTTTTTTTTTTTTTTTTTTTTTTTTTTTTTTTTTTTTTTTTTTTTTTTTTTTTTTTTTTTTTCAATATTTATTTAAAAATATTGAGATTTGAGCCATTTGAGCCTTCTTTGCTCAAGGCCCCAAAGATTTGCAACTAGGCTAAGTGGGTCATTCTTATGATTCTACTTGAACTTACTGTAATTTACCCGGTTCGGTGCGGTCCCTCATTGCTTTAATTTTTTTCTCTACAAATACAGCTTTAACACTTAACTGCACTTGCACTGAATAATATTCAATAAGTTCACATGCAGTTATAGAATGTGCCGTAAAGGTATCATTCATTGCAAACCACCTCTAACGATATCAGATATTTACAATTTTATCTGGGTATTTATTTTCATCTTGTTGGTGACGGTGAGTGGTCTAACAATTATTAAAAGAAAGTGTTGTATTTAATATATTATTTTTACCATCTAAGAAGTAATACTCTTTTTGTAAATCAATAAGAGAAATAATTGCACCTTTTTAAAGCTTTTATATTGTCAACATTTTGGCTATATATGTAGGCCTACATTTAATTATTATTGATAGTTGAAAGCCTTTCATTATTTTATTAATATTATTAAATTTTGTACTTACGGTACTTCTAGGCCTAGGCCTAGTTGCCTAGTAGTTAGTTAAGTTAGGCCGCCCTTCTTACTTTTTGAGTCTTAGTTTTAGTTTAGTATTAGTTCTTTGTTTAGTGGCTTAGTCATATGGCCTAATCTAACTTAACTTAATAACTTATATTAATTTGGAGAGTAGCACCCTGACGTCATTTGTTGTCATCAATTCAATTTCAATTGTTTTCAATTTTTCAATCAATACTGATACTGATTGATAGTTTGATACTGAGTTCAGTCCTGACATTGTATAGTATAGGGCATAGGGTCCACAGCCTCATAATACTCATATAGTTAGTAGACCATAAACTCATATATAGTGAACCTGAACCATGTCCATAGCCATAGCCATAGTAAACTAGTAAAGCCAGGTTTAGTCTAGCCTATGGACACTATGGTCATAGTTACTTATGCCTATGAAGACTTTTAAATTTTATACTACTACTAAGTTAGAACTAGCTAGAGTGCCTAGAGGCATTTCAGTAGAGGCAAGTCTACTCTTACCTCTGCCTTACTTACTCATAATACTCATATTCTTTGACTTAAACTTAAATGTAAAATATTTATTTAAATCTTCAGCTTTTGTGTGTTCTTTTATTACACTTAACTTCAGCATTGTTTAATAGTTTGTCTTTCCTATGCCTTCTTAGTCATAGCTTTGTTATTATCATTATAAAAAATTTATTTAAAAAATGTTGACAAATTTAACAAGTATGCTGAAGGTGTCATCTGAGATGCATATTTTGTATTTGAAAAACATTTGTGAAGCCAAATTTTGACTATTGACAAGATACGAAAATGCTTCTTGTTCTTTAGAATGTAACAAGTAACAATATGCAATTTCAAGAGATATTTCCAAATATTTTTGTTTAGCTAATTTATTATATCATATCTGTTGAAAAAATGCTTTAGGGATGAAAGTTTCATTAATTCAGCCCTCATTGCTGACTGGTACGCCTCCTTAGGAGATGGACAAGGATTTCTTAGCCATGTCTTTGACAAGGATGTTCTGTGTCATTTCTGTTTTAGTTCTATGATTTCATTTTTCTTGGGCAATCAATGTGAACTGGGAGTTTGAATTTATGCTAATTTGGGTGACCTGGGATTCTATTTGTTTAAAGTGTTTCCAAAAATAATTATTTCCTTCTGCTTAACTAAATGTATAAAGGCCACTCATTTTATGTAGCCTACATTGATGGGGTTGGCTTTAATGTTACTATTTATAGAACAGAACCAAAGACTGGCTCAAGATCATAATCAGACCCAAGTATTGTTAATTTTTTCATACAAAAAGTTCAAGAAATTCAAACTGATTGAAAACATTTTATAAAATATGAACCCATTCATTTACCTAAAAATACATTTTAAAATTGTAATTTAGCTTGGTAAAAATAACTTCCTGGTTGAACAATACTAATAACAATGAGCTGCTCCTGTATTTATATATGCATGGATAGAGAATTCACAGAAAAATTAATGTAACTAAGAAATTGTTTATGTGATTACAATTACCGGTTGTGTTTTCATTCCATTCACAGAATATAAGTTTTTTTTATAAAATACAACTTACATATTTTCTTTTTTCTATCTGAATAAAGTTATCTAAAGAAGTGTATTTGCACGTGAATTATGTTCACCTATAGATAAATGACCTAGATCTATAGGTACAATAAGCACACAAAATAAGAATTATCTCATTGATTTTTCAAACATTTTTATGTCATGTTATACATATTTGTATGCTTACATTTTTTTCCAGCTGGAGTTCAGTTAACATACATAAACACAAATTTGAGTAAATTATTATGCATTATAATAGTAATAGATTTTAATATACAGTTGTTGATGTGATATTTGAATACTGGGAAACACATAAAAAAAAAATTATTTGTCATCTTTCATGTATTGATGAACTTTCATAACTTTTTTTATTTCTTTCTTTAAAACAGAACAACAGATTAACTAAACCAGGGACAACCTTGCAATGCCTCTGGAGTCCCTTCCAGGGAGTAAAGACAGCCTCAGCCATAAGCCCCAGTTAAATGCTAGTAAAGAAGTCGCCAGCCACAAGCCACTCTCTAATGCTGGTAAAGACCCTAACACCCATAAGCCTCTTTTGAGTAGCAACAAGGACAACACCAGTCACAAGTCACAAGCAAGTGGAAGTAAGGAAGCCAGTTCCATCAAGACAATGACCAGTGTAGGAAAAGATTTTAATAACCACAAGCCACCAAGTCTCATCCCCAAATCCAAAGGGCCACGTGTAATGAGACGCCACCGCAGTCATACAGATGGGTCACGAGGACCACAAACACCTGGAATAAGCAGATACAGAGAAGACTTAGAGATGGAAGGACTTTTGCCAAGCCATTTCAGGTGAGGATTTAGTCATCAACGTTCATTAAAAATGTACCTAGAAGTTTTTGTTTTTTTAAATTAAAATTTTTTTTCTCATTCTTTTTGTTCTTCTTTTCATTGTGTATTATTATCTAGACCAAATGATTAACAGCAAATTTCTGATATTATTTCAATTAGGCCTCAATTTTTTTACTAATACTTATTAATGAAAATAGTACAGGTATAAAATTTATTTTCATTTGGAAAATTAAATGGTGTTGAATAGAATAACTACACTATTTTTTTTACTTCGCTATGAATAAATATGCTCCTAAAATATCTTAATTTTGATGATAAACCGGTAAGAAAAGTAATCCCACATACAGAATAGAAATGCTCTGATAGCCTTTGCGATAGCTTTATTGCTTTACAGCCCATATGAGAGAAATGAATTAGCCTCTTTCTTTTGAGAAGTTTTTCCTCCTCTACTTATGTAGATTCATAAAGAAAGTTGGTCATTTACAATTCTTGCTGTTAAACTACTATAGGGCATCCAATAGATCATTAAAAGAAATTTGTTTATTTTGATGAATTTATCTGGGATACACAATTCTCTATTTTCCAGAGACAGGCTGTATGACTTGTTCTTGCAGATAGAAAAAGAATTTGAACATCTGTATATGTCCAACATGGCATGTATGTTTGTAGAAATTTTTTAATTTGGTGGAAGATGAATGATAAAATATTAATATAATATTTATTGTTATAACATAAGCATAAAATAAAAATCTTCTTAAAAAGGAAAGCCAGTAAGTCTATAAATATATTAGATTTTAATTTATTTCTTTAAAATAGCAGTAGTTCAGTAGTTCAAACAATGTATGATAAAAATTTGTTGGAATATTTTTTTTTTGTGTCCAAACATATCTTTAAATTAAAATGTTCATTCCATAGATAATTATATCCTCACTGAATGCACCCAAGTTACAAGTAGACACCAACCATGACATACCAACTTTGAGAACCACTGGCATAGATAAATAACACTATTTCATAAAACTCAATAATGATTTTAAAATGCATTGCAAAGACCAACATATTTTTGGGGGGTTTAGTTTCACCAATGAAGAATTCTTGCTGTATCCTTTATTACAGTCAGCAAAGGGAAAAGAAACTTATCACAATAAATTTTGTTTAAAAAATCTCAGTGCAAGAGCGTCTTGACCTGGTAGCTGAAAAACTTGTGGGTGAAAGTGGTAGTCTGGAGAAAACTCCTTTGGAGTCACAAGATTCAACTGACTATGGGGCCAAAAATAAAAGTAAGTGTCAGGAAGAAGTAAGATTAAAACGACTTTGTGAATGAAATTTGTCTTTAAAAAAAATAACCCTTACAGATGAAAATGTATTTTAAAATCAAATTGAAAATAAAAATCTTTAAAAAAAAGTAAGGCGCTACTAGTTAATAAAATGTAGAATATATGTGTATTAATTTATATATATATATATATATATATATATATATATATATATATATATATATATTTTTTTTATTATATTTTTTATATATATATATATATATATATATATATATATATATATATATATATTTTGCATCATATCTTTGCGAGACAATGGAGTAGCTACGGACACTTCATTAAATGGCTTCCAAGGCCCATCCCCGAATGGCAGTCGGGGCTGCATTTCTTTTTAGGGAACCTGGACTTCTGGTTAAATTTGGTCTGCCGTAATGCTCTTTTGTGGCAAAGGCTTCGTTTCGTGCATCTTCTGCCTTTTTGACTCCGTCATATACTGCTGTTCGCCATCTGGAACGGTGCTGAGCAATGATCTCTTATTTGTTAGATTTCTATGTTGGCTTCCCCCATGTTTATTTATGCAAGTATCCTTAAAGCTCAGCGGCACCATCCAATAAGTCTTGCACCTTTCTTCCAGCTCCCCATTCAGCAGATCCTTTGGAATTCAGCCTTCCTCTATTATCCTTACATGGCCTAACCAGCGAAGGTGCCTTGTTCTAAGAGTGGAGAATGTGGTACACATTTTGGCCCATTCCAAAATTTCTGTTAGACACTTCGTTGAAGTGTAGGTCTACATAGCTACTCCATCGTCTCCATATATATATATATATATATATATATATATATATATATATATATATATATATATATATGTGTGTGTGTGTGTGTGTGTGTTTATGTGTTAAAGAGGGAAAATTTATTGAGAGAGTTTGCTACATACTAGCCCCATAAAAAATTATATGTTATGATAAACAGGTAAAAAAAATAAATGAGGTGTTTAAAATCATTTACGGTATATAAAAATCTAAAAATGTGAAACCCTGTTACTGCTTACACATAAATCATATCTAGTAACATGTATTTTTGAACTAAAATTAAATTTATTTTGGTACACTTAAAATGCTAAAAGCGAAGCTAAAGTGAATCAATAGCCAATGTTAAATCTGGCATGTACACGTGTTAATTTTTTGTCACACAATTGCAGAGTCTCAGCTATCTCAGAGGATCAAAACCACCTACAAACAGTCTACTAGCAAGCTGGTCTCAAGTTTTAGGACACCTAACCCTGTCTACAGTGTAGTTAAACACTTCAGGGGTCATCGGGATGGAGTTTGGGAAGTCAGCGTGTCCAGATCACACACACACCAGGTTATTGGTACTGCTTCAGCAGGTGAGAAATATTAACATTTAAACCTCTGGTATAATCACTCTATAGTTTTTGTAATCCCAGCATGTGTAACTTCACCTACCACGAAAGCTCAAAATGTTTTTTAACAGAAACAACAAATTCAAAATTCTTATTAATCAATATTCTTTAAAATAGGCCTTACACAATCTCCGCATATAGATTAATGTATGTTTTTATTAAAAAAATGAGTAACTATTTTCACATACAAAAATGTGTCTTTGACTCTGTTTCAGATCATAGTGGTAGAATATTTTCTGTGGAGACTGGTTCCTGCTTGCTGCAGTACATAGGACATAAAGGATCTGTCAACTCAATACGCTTTCATCCTACCCAAGAGTTGGTGCTAACAGCATCAGGAGATGCCACTGCTCATATCTGGAGAGCTCCACTCTCACAATTTTCTCCTGTGGACATCTTGGTGAGTCCCTTCGTCATTCATTTCAGATTCAGCTTAAGGTTTTGTAAGAAAATGAATATATCTCTTTGTCTTGAAGTATAGTATATCATCCCTGCTGAAGAATTAATTGTAATTCCATCTTTAACTGATTTTAATGTAATTCCATCTTAACATGATTTTATTGTTTATCTTAAAATTAACACTTGAAAGTTCAAGCTGTAATGTAAACCTATTCTATTTCAGAAATCTCATTCTTCAGGTGAAGATGAAATAGACAGCTCAGGAAGGGAAGATACTGCAGATGGTGAGTTATTTTGTATAGTAAAAATTAAATGGTTGTCACAAAATTCAAAATTTTAGGCTTATGATCAATGTTTAAATTAATTTTTTTTTTAAACTTTCTTACATGACCTTAATAAAATTGCCTTTTTCAAAAACTGATTATCCAGACTGATAGTTCATAAAATCTAATAATATTCAAGCATGGCTCATGCTGTCATGTACTTTTTTTCCTTATTCCATGGCAGATCTCAATGATTTTGCCCATGAAGCAAATATCATCAGAAGCCCTCATCTTGAGCTGATGCAGCACAGTGAGGTTGTCACTGCAGCTGACTGGATGAGTCAAGGCTCCCAGGTCATCACAGTCTCCTGGGACAGAATGGCTGTTTTGGCTGATGCTGAAACCGGAGAACAAATTTCTCAGCTGTCAGGTAACTTAGTATGCATCAGCTATTTTGACAAATAAATTTGATGCTAATTGATGATTTTAAATTCAGGAACATCTGTAATTACTAAACATGACAAAGAAGGCTTTTTGCTATAATTAAAACAATTGATAAAATCGATACAACATAAAAAATGTCATTGTAACACAAATAGAAGAGATTTATGTGGACACAAGGCCAAAATACTATGAGAAAGTTGTTCCCATGCACAAATATGAGATTTCATGTCTTTAGCAATGTTCTGATCCAGCAGTAGCTTACAGAGCAGTTATATTTACATATTTTTGTTGTTGAGTTTTTAGAAAGGCGGGGTGGGGGGCTGGGAGGGGAATGGCATTAATTCAGAAATACATGCAGTTTTCTGATCTCTAAATGTGTGTATGATATTGTAACTTTCACCTTTAAAAAATTCTTTTTTAAAATTTAAAACTTAGAATTGTTTAACTCACTGTGACAGCTCCACCCACAGACCACCATTATGTGTTATGTATACTATACTGGGTGTCAGAGTGGGCTAAGATGAGTAAATCCCAAGCTAGTAGACTCCAGTTCAATCCCCAGCAAAAGCAAAAATATCACCAGCACCTCGGGTGGATGGGATTTGTTAACCTTGGATTGCAACTCATCTATGAGAAGGAAAGTCCTGTAGGCAGTATGACACTAACACAATGAAAATTGTGACAACACCTGTGACCTATGACATAGAATACATAAAGTGCATACTATTGATCATCTACTGCATCCTGGTCTATTTCCAGTTGTCTTGGCTAAGTTTTGCTATTTGATCAAAGAGACAAAGATGAGAGAGTGAGGGGCTCTCCCTCACTTTGAACAAAATACAAGTCAAGGCTACTACTCAAGTTGAAAATAGCTTTGGTCATCTTCATGTGCTAAGGTTGATCAATAAATAATAAAAATACTGATTATAAAAAGCAGTTGTTTGTTGAAGTTTAGCCATATGTAAAATATTAATTCAATAACTGTTTCAGGTCATGATCAAGAACTTACTGATGTCCATGCTCATCAAAGTCAACGACTTGTCCTCACTTCTTCTAAAGATACAACTTTCAGGCTGTGGGATTTCAGAGGACCTGCAATGTTGGTCAATGTGTTTCAAGGACACACTCAGTGAGTAATTTCAGTGACTTCATGTCATATTTGCTACTTAATCTTATTTTAATTCTGAAAAAACTGTGCACTGTGACAAAATAGCTTAATTTCCTGCACCGTAACCAAAACGTAGCTGGTTTGAATCGGCAAGTGGATGTCCCCAGCTATCAGCAAATATCCAGGTGTAATTCATTTTTCAGCCAACCTTGGCAGCAACTTTTTGAATGATGTAAAAGAAAACAAAACTTGAACAATAAAAAAAATGGAGATCGCAGCTATCTTGGAGTAAGATTAAAAATCTTTTGTACAGACCAAACAAAATACATGACTATGATTAGAGAAGAAAAGACCATTGAAGCCATTAAAATTAGAAACTAGACTTTTGAAAAAATTAAATTCATTCAAATACCTAGAATCTTTATTAAATGGAAGAAACGAATTACTAACAGAAATAAACGAAAGAATATCAGCCAGAAACAGGTCATACTTCAATAGTCAGAAATTACTCAAAAGTAAAAACATTACAAGAGAAACAAAGAAAACTATTTATAAAACTGTAATCAGACCAGTTGTAACATCTGCAAGTGAAACTTGGACCCTAACAAAAGTGGCAGAAAACTTATTAAACACATGGGAGAGAAAAGTTTTCAGGAAAATATATTGACCAACTAAGGATGAATATGGATGGAGAATACAAACAACCAGGGATTGTACAGTCTATAAAAGGATCCCCCGATATTAGCAGAAATAAAAAAGGGTAGGCTACGCTGGGCAGGACACTTAAAGAGAATGCCAAATGGCAGAGAAGTGAAGAGGGGGCATCATCAAAACCCCAAAGGAAAACATCTCAAAGGCAGGCCTAGGATTAGACGGATGGATGATGTGGAAAAAGATCTACAACTGGAAATCAAAGCATGGAAAAGATGAGCTTTAGTTAGGTCTGAGTGGAAGGAAGTAGTGGGACAGACCTAAGCCCTACATGGGCTTTAGTGCCACAGGGATGGATGGATACAGAGCCTATCCTTAAATAGCTAACAAAAAGTAAAAATAGGAGTTTATTGAAGAAAAAAAAATTACTGATCATGATTAATATATGGTTTTTAATAGTGAAAATTGCATAACATTTAAAAAGCCTTTTATTTTAATCAGGCAGGTGACATCAGCTGTTTTTGCAAGTGGGGACAAGGTTGTATCTGGTAGTGATGACAGGACAGTTAAGGTTTGGGATATGAGAAATATGAGGTCACCCATTGCTGCTATCAGGACTGACTCGGAAGTCAACAGGTAATTAGTATATATTGTTGTTGCATCTGCTATATTAATATTTATACATAAGCCTCTTCCCTGTGTATTCTGGGATTTTTAGTTTTAAAATATTTTTAGATTTCACATCTACAATATATAACTGCAGGATATGATTACCTTAATTGTGCCATTTTAAGTTATCTTAATATAACTCTTTATAGCTATGTCTGATGTTTTTTATTTCACCTACTTAAAAGGCTGTCAGTCTCTCAAGTCCAAAATATCATTGCTATCCCTCATGACAACCGCAACATTAGACTCTATGATATTAACGGTGTCCGTATTGGACGACTACCTAGAAACAACAGACAGGTTGGTTTTAATTACATGTTCTTTTATTAAAGAGTGAACACAAAAAAAATTAATTTTAAATTACATAACAGTTTTTTTTTCTTATAACACATGTATTTCTTTTAATATGATATTGTTTATTATGAAATTAAAGATGCTCAAGCTTAACAAAAAAAAACCCTTTAAATAATTTGTTTGGAGGATTTAGTAAAACACAGGTAAAAGATTAGAAAAATTTCAAAAACAAAGTCCAGCAGGTGTTTTACAGATCTAAACAGAAAATGCCAGGCTTTCTTACATATGACATATTTTGAAATATTTCTAAAAGGCTAATATTTCTTCTTCACACAGGGTCATGCGAGAATGGTATGCTCTGTGGCTTGGGCTGAAAACCATCCAACGTGCAATCTGTTCTCTTGTGGCTTTGACCGTCAAGTTTTGGGGTGGATGATCAACAATCCTGTCAAGGAGTAGCTAAAAGGAATCTGGATCTCTGCATAAGTAATACCAACATTCAGCTTCTTAGTCTAAACAGGACTATTTTTTGTTAATATTACGCAAGTCACTTACTTTTCTACATAGGTGGTTCTGAACCTTTCACAATTGATGTCATCTCAGTTACGTGTCATTTACCCCTTGTCCATTGATAGTCTAACATTTTTACATAATTTATATACCCCCTGTAGATGCTTCAACTACCCTTTGGGCATTGATGGACAAATACAAGGTGCCTGGTCCTAGACCACTGAATTTTTTACCTGGCAACTGAATTTTTAGTACTTTTTAGCCCATTTTTTGCACACCAAAAAAATGTTGGCTCTTGAGAAAAAGGGTCAGTCTAATAAATTATTTTATGTATTGTCTATCTGCCCTTGGGGGTTCATGTATCCTAGTACAAGAACTGTTGTTGGACTTGATCTATAATGTAATTGCATTAACTGCAACATTATTATTTTGATATTAGCAGGTTAACCCCTGGACTCTGTGATTCTCTTTTCATTTTAAAAAAATGGAGATTTTAAGCGCAAAATGCAGTTTTCTCATGAGATTATACTGTGTACACCAAGTTTATTTAACCTAAAGTATGATAGTTGTGAAATAACTAGTTTTAAATCTTTTGTGCTTTGTTTACTAACAAGTTAAAAGTGATCATAAATTAATTTTTCATCACAACTGTATCATTAAAAAAAATGGTATGTTCTATTTATATAAAACATCTTTTTTTTTTTTTTTACATCAGTCAGAAACTGACTTTAAATTAAATTTATTTTAAAATTATCGATATATACCTTCAAATGACAGTTGGAAATTATGTTATTTGAATTTCACCATGAAGTCACTAATAATTCAATTCAAATGTGCAATACAAAAACTGTCAAACTCAAAATACGAAGGAAATCTTCTACTTAGAAATAGTTCTTTTCCAGCCTCCTCTCAAGCTCCTTATTTCTTGGTTCATATGAAACTATGATTTATGTCTTTAGAAAAATGTGTTATTATTAATACCTTTAATAAAAAATAAAATGTTTCAAGATCTGGATAAAATTGAAATTGCTTTACTTTTAAAACATATATTTACCAGTGAAATTTCAAAAAAGAAAATAACATGCTGTTTAGTATCAATTTAAGATTTGTATCTTATCTTTAAAATGATATTTTCTTTTCATGCATTCCTGTTGTCCATCCTGGCACTGTTTGACATGCTGCAATTTGATTTCTGTTAACCAGATTACATTTTACTGGTCATTTGTACATATCTGTGGGACTTTAAGTAGAGTGTAGTGTATGTGCCGGGAAGGGGCTGTAGTGGGGGCTATACATATTGTATAAATCTTAAATGTGAGTTATACCTGCAGCTGCAATGGCCAGTTATCAATATATTCATGAATTCTGTCGCTGTAGATGTTTACTTTAGATGGGAATTTTCTTATACTTCTTTCAGCCGTTTGCTGTCTGATATCTATAAGATCTATTATAAGTCTTATTATAAGTCTGTGATTAATGGTTACAGTATTTAAAGACTTAACAGGAATTCACTTTAAAGAAGATTCATTATTCAACTTATCTTGTACACATGTCGTATTATCTGTATTAAATTCAGGGGCTTTGTCCCAAAGTACACATTCAAATTATGGAAAAGATTCTTTATTCATACATTATGTATATAAAACTGTAACTTTATAATTACGCTATATCCCCATGAATTTAAAGCTTCATGTAAAAATATATAATTTAACACAGCTGTTTATTTGTAACAAGCATGAAAACAGTCACATCCCGAAAGAATAAATAATTGACCCGTTTGCAAAAAGTAAAGCTTTAACTTTAACAAGAACAATCTTTAAATTTAAGTTTAACTAGTCACATTTTTGAAACGGATAAATGTTATGTGCTGGTAAGTAGTCACTCTAGTACAGGTATTTTTATGTATGTGACCGTGATGATCATTTTTTTGCAATAAAATTATAAATATAGTATTCTCTGTTTTTTTGGCTTACGGGTTGGATTCATTTCTTTAGCATTGAATTTAGCAAAAGTCATTTAAGTAGCTTGTAATGCAAACATGAAATTGGCCTGCCTTAAGAAATTTTGATAATTTGAGATCCCTGAAATTTTCAATACCAACTAAAGTCATCCTGTATTTTAAAAAAAAAATCATAATTAGCTGTATATAGCTATAATTTTATTATTGTTTGTAAAAACCTGTCAAACAAATTAAACTTCACTAAATTTTAAAATATTGTTAATTGCGTTTGTTTTAAAATTGAAAACTTTTTTTTTTTTTTTGAGGGACCCTTTTTTGTGTTGCAATGAACATGCTTGACTGTTTTCAACACTGTAACAGCAGAAATTGAACAGATCACATCAGCCACAAATAAAGTATCAAACTTACGTGATCAGTTTATAAAAAATTTTAGTTAAAGAAATTTACCGGGTACATACATTTATTTTTTTCAAGTTGCTACACACACAAATTAATTGATTTGAATACATTACATCACAATTACTGAAATGAGATATAAGCATTTACATATTTTCAAATGCAAATTATTATTTAAGTTCTTATTTAATATTTAAGCTATCTATCACAAAATCCTCCATTCTAAATGAGAAAAATAATAGTTAAGAATATTGAAACAACATGTCTAGCCTCATTTAAATTTGGTAATAAGTGGGAGAGTGCGCAATCAGGACTCTGAAAAAAAAGATGCAACAAAACAATGAACGTGTCGGTAAGAAGCCTTCTTCAGGAAACAAAAAACCGAAAAAACAATATGAAATAAACACTTGGCCTATTTAAATTTATATGAATTATCAGGACCACATTCTCTGATTATACTTCACATGCTAACTGTTAATAATAAACACAGCTTTTATGATTCAATATTTAATGCATATTACAAACACTGAGCACAAAATGATATACTTTAGGAAGAAACCAATTTTAAACAGTTTGTAAAATTTAAAAAATAATGTGGCCATGTAAAATAAAATTTTTGCACATAATTGTATGCACTTAGTATGAAATTAGATATGAACAGTGTTACTTACATTACCTAATTTACAGGAAAAAACAATGTTAAATATCTACTGATTAATTAATAATGATATTATAACTTTAAAAAAACGTTTTCCACTTACAAATGGGAAACTAAAAAAAATATATTGGTCTCACCAAAATTGTACACACACCAACAAACATCCCCCCCTTTCCAAACCACCACCACACTGTGTACCTACTTTGTTTCTTACACACTGAAAAATGTAGAGGAAAACATTCTGCTTTATGATAACAAATGTGCAAAAGGTAACAATTTGGTAAAATGTAATATACAATATTGCAAGTATTAATATAAAATGAGTTCTTTTATTTTTAAAAAATTGTCAGATATTTTCACATCAGAGTTAAACTTTTGCATAAATATTTTTTAACTGATTCTTTGGTTCTTAATTGCATTTTTTAAATTTGCACATAATTGCCAATATAGGTCCTCTATACAAAATAATAGTATATCACAGATCGATAGATTATGTCTAAACTTGGTTTCACTTTCAATGTATTCATGAATAAAGCCAGAGACCTCACAGGAAGAAAGACAAATTAAAACATTTTTGTGATTAAAAAAATAGCAGTGACTAGGATGTAGTCTGTAAGACACATGACTAGTGTGCTCATCTCTCTGATTTAATTCCTAGAAAACAGGATGTTCCAGGCCATCTTGACACTACACAAGATGTTGTAGCTATAGTACACCATAAGAATACACAAAATATTGTAACTGTAACATACCATAAGAATACCAAGTTGTTGTAACTAATATCAATATACCATAAGAATATATAGTTACCAGAAAAAGTTAGAGGTATCAGAAAAGGAAAGAGAAATAATTTTTAAAATTTGATCCGCCTCTGTATCTAAATGAAATCAAAAGAACTTTATGACAATTCTACAAGGGTAAACTTTTTTTAAATTGAATTGCAAATTCTTCAGAAACTATTCATATATTAATAGATATAATTTTGTAAGTTTGGAAATCCATAACATAAGATGGCTATAAAAGCTACAACATTTGAAATAAGCCCCACTTAAGAAGGAGGTAAACATTTTGTGTATTATGAATAATCAATTAATAGCACACATAATTTTCTCAGATAATTACAGGGTTTCCACAGCAAACTATTTTGGGGAAAATGGGGACAATATTGCAGTTCGGTTTTGAATTATTGGTGTTTCAATGTTAAGGATTATTAGGCATCATGTAAATAAAATGACACTGTAAAATGTTATTGAGTTAAAAGTTTGAAAATATCCATTAAGTGATTTACAAAGTCTTGCATACATACTGTGCAATCAAAGAGTGACTTGCTATTTTTGTAAGTGAAGGATTTTCAAATGACAAGTTATCAAAATTTAACATGAAACAAGCTAAAACCCACACATAAAGAGCCCAATTTGAGGCACGTAGGAACAGATAACATATCAAGTAGCACCAACAGCATCAGAGAAATGAAATCGGCATGTCTCTTAATGTAGGCAAGTGTCATTATATTTCAAATAGGAAACAATGGCGGAAGGAAGGAGGAGAGAATCCAAAGAATCCAGAGATCTCCTCTGCCTGGATAGGCTGGAGATGATGGTAATTCTGCAGGCTGACAACAGACTTCGTGGGCTTCCTGTCAACATAAAAGTGTCAATAATTAACTTGAAATTCTTCAGGAAATCTATATTTTTTGCTTTTATAAACGATTGCAATATCTTTGAATATCAAATTAGAACATCAAATTAGAATACCAATGAATGCACCTCTCAACTGAATAAGTTTTGCTTCAGCTCCGTTTCTGAGATTCAGTTCTGTAGCTAATCTGTTGTTGAGATCCCTGCTGTCTGAGCAGAGACCAAAATTGAATAGCAATTCCACAATTTCCTCCAAGTCTTGCTGCACACATGTATGGTAGGTAAAATCTAAGAGATAATAATGAATAATTCTATTTCACATCATACATTATTTTAAAAATGAAGGAAAACTAGGCTCAGAAAAGAGTTGTAGTGCTCAACATGTTTTTGATGAGAAGGACAATGAAAATGCAGATGGGTGTTTCTCCTTCTATATTTTAAGGGTCCAAGATTAATGTATTGATCATTCTGGCTCCTATGTATGTAGAGGCATTTGCGATGTTTCTCTTCTATTGAAGAGGACATTTCACTGGTTGCAAAGGATACTTAGCGAGGGTATCAGGAACTGGGGTTTAGCAGGCAAGAGGCAATATACATTTTGCTCAGGTCTAGTGAAAAATTAAAGCATGGAAGTTGGATGTGAAGGGAATATATTTAATTTTAACTTGAATCAAAACATTTTAAATGTTTACAGCAGGAGCACAATAGTTTTTAAGAAAATATGAAGAGGACCAACGAGTTTAAAAGGTAGATTTATTGGTTTTTTAAAACTTAATAAACTAAAAAAAACTTACTCTCTGTCTTGCAGCCTCTGATTAATAAAGCCTTCACAACTTGAGTTATATCTTGAGCTCCTATTAAATAATTTGTAGCTGCATTTATTGAATTGAACTTGGGGTTGTAAAGGCTTGGAATCACTGGATTGCTATGTCTCAGTTGGTCAGGGTTAGCTCCATGGTCTAACAACAGCTGAAAGATAAATAATTGTTTTCATCAACTTTTTACTTCCTATTATTTGAATCCCCTTTAATTTTAAGAAGTTTAATTTGTTTGCAGAAATTTTTTTAATACATTTTTAACATGTCAGTAACTTCAATGCTGACATTAAATTTTATAATAGCTATTCTTATTTCATATTAATAATTTAGTTACAAAAAAACAACGTATTAATACAATTTTTAGGAACAACTTCTTTATCCATTATATCATGTGATGTATCTCGGCAACCTAAAAAACTGGTGTTTTCTAAAAAAAAAAATACTATTTAATTTTAAAGATAAATCATATACAGTTACATAAATGCAATTAAAAATGCATATAAAGGATTTAGGGGTCATTTGCAAATTACATCACGCTCAAAGGGAGAGGGGGAGGGGTAAAAATTTGTGAGGTCACTTTTTTTTTTTTTTTTAAATCTAAAATTTTCTAATTTTGAAAACCTTTATTCAATTACCGTATTTATTGGCATATAGCACGCACTTTTTCTCCCTGAAAATAGGGGGCAAATCCTGTGTGCGTGTTATACGCTGATATAATGTTTAGTTTTTTTTCCTGAAATTTCCTTCTTAAATTGAGGTGCGTTTAATACGCTGGGCGTGTTATACGCCAATAAATACTGTAATTTTAAAAACATTAATTTGAGGTCAAAATTGCCTCAGTCGTGCAGACCTTCTGCGCATATCAAAAAAGATGCAAAAACTGTAGTGGCCATTTGACATTTTGCTTGTGCATGACTTCATTGTGTCGCATCACAGTTTCAAATAATAGTACATCTTAATCCATTATGGGGAAATGTTAAAGAGTAAAATAAAATCTTAGTTTAGTTATTAAAATTTTATGTATGTTTTGATTTTTTTAGGTGTGAAGTGACACTAAGGAAGTGGGGAGGGGTAAAGAATTTGTGACAGGAGGGTCTAAAAAGATCATTTTTTTGCGTGACATAATTTCCAAACTTTGTATGAAAAACTTTGTTTTTAGTTTTTTAAATTAATTACCAAAACATATCTGGCATCTTGATTCATAAATGCAACATAAAGAGGAGTGGAGGAATTGCCAGTATCTCCTTCTGGGGAGGCTCCTGCTTGCAATAATTTCTCAGCACACTCAAATCTGCGGTTTTTTACAGCAACAAAGAGTGGCGTCTGGCACTTGACATCTGGAATGTCAATACTGGCGCCAGCTTCAATGAGTAAAGTCAAACACTCCAGGTGGCCACCTGCATGGAACGATCATGAAACATTTAAAATAAATGGTATACTTCATATTTATATTTACACAGTTGTGACTTTAGCATAAGAGTTTAAAAAATTTAATTGACAGTTACAAGCAATAAAATTGTAAAAAATTATTTGACATTTTTTAATCACAATCTTATTATTTGAAACCCTGTAGAGCACTAAAGTTGAACTTTTTACTGTAGTTCCAGTAATTTTTTTAAAAGAAAGGCTATTTACTAATAAATTAGATACCCGGTACCTATATTTCAAAGGCTATATAAATAATACACTTACTTGTTGCTGCTAATCTGATAGGTGTGCATCCTAGACGATT